ACTTGCTAGTCTCTTTTTTTTTTAATGAATTTTCAGTTTCAAAGGAGAAAATCTGTATTGCATTTGGAGTTTTGTTTGGTGGTGGTGGTGGTGGTGGTGTGTGTGTAATTCAGTTTGCAAATGTTAGCATTTTCTCTCTCAAGTCCTAAGTTTTACTCAAGTGCTTTAAACAGACTGTAGCAGATAAATTATACTCTTTTATTCTTTTGTCTTCCTTTCCATTATTCTTTCATCTTCACTTCTGACTTCATGTCCCATTCACAGTGCAAACTGCTGTATGTACCTTGTCTCTTTAAATAGTATCACCCAGCTTCGCTGACAAAATAAATTACAATTTCTGATTAGGAGATTAAAATTCACCATCAAAGTTCACACCACATATTTTGTAAAACATTCACGGTGCGTGTTTATTTTAGTTCTATTAGAAACGACTGTTACTGACTGAGCTCCTGCTGGCACTTTCTAGGTGGGACCCAAAGATCACAACAGGAGTAACACTACCATTAGTTCAGTAGTCCAGCAAAAGTAATCTTAAAAATGAAAAACATTACAATCACTATTGCCATGTCAGGACTTACTATTATTTATAGTACCCTTGATAATATAGCCAATTGCCATAGAAAAAAGAAGTGGTTCATTGAGTAGATTTTAAAAAAATATATATTTTTATCATTTATTTCAAAGAGGAAGAGAGTGGAAAAGAGGAATAGAAACATCAATGATGAGAGAGAATCACTGATTGGCTGCCTCCTGCACACCCCACACTGGGGATCCAGCCTACACCCCAGGCATGAGCTTTGACCAGGAATCCAACTGTGATCTCCTGGTTTATAGGTCAACGTTCAACCACTGACCCACACCAGCCAGACCAGATATTGATTTAACATTTGTCTCCATGAGTTTATCAAAGCATAAATGGGGACCCAAGAAAGAAGGTCACTGTTTCTTCCACAAGCACAGGAGAAAATGTGAACGTGTCTCAGTTAGTGTCTTTATTTCTGTTGAATCTAAGAAATTCTCAATTCACACTAAATTCCCAAAGTATTAGTTTCTGTTCACAAAATCTAAAGGTGGTCGAAAGTAATAATTGCTACTAGAAATCCCAACTTGCAGTCATGTTCCTAATTTAAAATTCCTACTAGCTTCATCACTAGGCTGGCAGGCTTGGAGGCATTTTTTTAAAAATATATACTTTTTTTATTGATTTCAGAGAGGAAGTGAGAGGGAAAGAGAGATAAAAACATCAAGATAAGAGGGAATCCTGGATAGGCTGCCTCCTGTATACCCCCTACCGGGGATTGAACACACAACCCCTGCATGTGCTCTTGGTGGGAATTGAACCCAGAACCCTTCAGTCCACAAGCAGACATTTCTATCCACTGAGTCAAACTGGCTATGGCTGAAGGCATTTTTAAAAATTTTTATCAAAAGATAATGTGATCAATCTACGTTTGTGTGTTATTTATACTGGGTCTGCTCCTTCTTTCTTCCATCCTTGCTATTCCCATCAGGGCAGCTGCAATCACTCATTTCTTAGGAGAACCCATTCCTTTCTACAAATTAGGAACTGAAACAAATACTAATGTTATAATCACTGCCAGTTACTAGCCAGATAAATTGGACTCTAAGATAACTTTGTCATCATTACCCAGCTAAATCAGACCAGGTCTATGCCCATCTCCTACCAACAAATCCTGACGGAAGAATAAGCAACTGTGTGGACTGGCACTACACACCTCCGCTGAGAAGCTTGCAAACATGTACAGCTCTCCTACTTTCACTCACCTGGTCCAGGAGGACTTCATCCTGGATACTGTTATCTGAATAGTTTCTTTCTGTAACATATTTTATTGATTTTTTTTTTTTATATAGAAGAAGAGAGAGAAATAGAGAGTTAGAAACATCAATGAGAGAAACGTTGATCAGCTGCCTCCTACACACCTCCCACTTGGGATGTGCCCACAACCAAGGTACATGCCCTTAACTGGAATTGAGCCTGGAGCCTTTCAGTCCTCAGGCGAATGCTCTATCCACTGAGCCAAACCAGTTAGGGCTGAATAGTTTCTTATACGGCCACCTAAGCTAACTCTGACAGTACATGTCTAAGAAAAGAACAGTTTTCCTAACTGCTGTTTGCTGCTACCAGGCCTAGAAATGCCTGGCAGCCCATGGTTCTCAGCTGATTTTCCAGTACTTTCTCACTCTCTGTAAGACTTATGTGGAAGAGTTTTCAATATTAACAATTCAATGGTAATTTTTAAAAGGAAAGAAAGAATGCTTACACAGGAAAATATACTGTTTTTGAAGCTATAGTTCACTTTTATGCATACCAAAAGTTTAAGAAGAAAAAAGAAACAAGACATAAAAAGAGAGAATTGTCTTAAATTGGCCACTACTGATACCTCAATTGTCTGAGCTTTCTTTCTCACCAAAAGAAGACATTTTTAGGTCATTCCCTGAAAGCTAACAAATAACACTGCCCATGTGCTTATGAGTTGATCTCTATTATTTATTAGTAAAAACATCTTATCTAGGGAAATGACTTAATGTCTTCTCGAAACAATTCTGAAAACTTATTTTGTTGCTGGCAATGTGAATGTGGAAGTAATTTTCAAAACTAGCATCGTTAGAAATGAAGTAAGTCTTTGACATTTCTGATACCCCTTTACCCAGACATTCCCTAAATCCTAAGAAATAATGAACTTTCAAACCATCCATGTGACAAAGATCACTCTTCACACACAATGGTGAGGCACACACACCCAATGGCAGCCGTTCAGTGATTCACCTGCAAGCATGCTGATGCAGACAGCTGTTTCTAATGCACGCAAGAGGAAGTCAACAAAACTCATTCCAAATATTCTATTTACTCTCCATAGGTGAGCAAGTTTATCAAGCTTGAAAGAAACGTATTGTCTCAGCACAAGAGCTTTCCAATCTCTATGTAATATTTCACTGGCAGCTACTTGATGAGCAATGGGTCATAAAAATGTGTTTAATTTTTACTGTCATGCTTTCAATCATTCTGCTCACAATTCAATCATAGCTTGAGAAATGGCTAAAGAATGGGCAAAGCCGAGGAGGCAGTTTTCCCAGGGATGGAGAGCTTCAAAGCGATCAGGAAAATCCCAGCCCGGTGACCTTCGTTTGCTCACGCAAGAACAATTCACAACACTGTGCATTTTTTTCTAATGCACTTTTCTTCTTTGGCCAGACTTGGATGCTCCAATGAGGCAATGTCTCATTTCCCCTGGAGGTATTCTGATGTTAACTCTTCTCTTCCCTATATACCTTCAGAGTTCCCTCCCTAACAAAGAATGTGGAGATGAAATTGAACAAGACTAAGAGGAAGCAGTCAGCATCACACTAAAGTTTTTCCCGGGCACTATCTCTCCAGTGTCATAATCTCATTTCAGAATTAAAAAGGTAACACGTTTCCTTATCACACGAGTACGGTGTCTGCATCCACAGTAACCACGATCCTGAGGTCTTCTTCAAGCAAGCTGATCCCTCTCTCTCTTGGCTGGCCTTCCAATGATTACGGTCGAAGGCCATGCTTCGGCGTTAGGTGTTTGTCAGCTTTTCGGTGAGATAAAATCATATAAAATAAGTGCCATAAACACGTTTTGCTAATAACTCAACACAAGCTCCTTCACACTATGTTTTACATTGTTCTTTCAGTCCCCTGCACACTGGTAAAAAACAAACAAACAAACAAAAAAACAATCCGATAGCCACATATGTAAAATTAAGGTAGGCTTGGTTTAGCTCTCTTAACAAGCCATCCATCTTTCCCCCATTTTAAATAAACAACAGCGCAGGGATGCTTGACCACATTTTATCCACTGACAGTATGGATTGTGGGTGACCTTCTAGCTCCAAAAACACCAGAGCAGGGGTCTGCAGAATCCATTCCAGTGCCCCGACTGGATATCCTTTTCAAAAGCGTTTAAGCGTTGTGGTGGCTAACAGCAAATATAGATTAAGAACCCTAAATATGTGCTTTCTTCTCAGAAAAAAAAAAAAAAAAAAAAGATTCAGAGGGCCAGAGAGAGGTATCAGGAAGAACTGCGTCCATTTCTTAACAGACATAGGGTTTCAGGCCAGAGTTTCAAGCCCAATTTAGAAGCTATTTCTAAAACCAGAGAAACATCCAACTCACTAGATAACCAAATGTCAGGTGGTGGCTGCGGGCAAGGTTGTGGGGAGGGAAGACAGAGAGGCCAAGTACGCCCAGGAGATAAGAGTCATGATTTCCTGCAGTTTCACTTCAGTTAAGGCTCCCCCCTTTTCCCCCCCTTCAGCCTCACACTCTTTTCTGAGTCACCACACCTCTGACATTCTCTCCCCGTGAGTTTCTGCTCCTTCTCGGTGACTTTAGCAACAGTTACAAAACATATTTGTGTTCCTCTTTTGCTTTCCCCCCCAAGTTCTCCGGGGAGGGAAAGGAAGGAACCCTACAACCTGGGCGCAGAGAGGCACTGTCCTCGCTGCCTCTGATGAAATCATCCCTCCGTTGGCCGCTCTGAAGTTCAAGTGAAACTGCGGCCAAAGCCGCAGTTCGAGAACACCAGGCCAGCAGGACCAGAAGGGAAATTCTGCTCGGGGGGCCGGGAATCCCCAGGGGAATGTCTAGAGACCAGGGATATCCCCGCGTTTCAAGTTCCTAAAGAGCTCAGGAGGAAGGAGTCCTGGGCCAGGAGGGACAGGTGTTTCTGGGCGGAGGGGGGCAGACCAGACCCCGCAGGGGGGTCCCCGCGGAGGAAAGGAGGTGCTGCCCCGCCCCGCAGCCTGCACCTGCCTCTCCCCGCCCTGCAGCGGCCCTTCCCCAGCATCCCCGCCGCCACCCACCACATCACCCAAGCCCACCGCGCTGAGTGGAACCTGGGGACCCCCGCGCACCCCAGGTAGAGAGCGGGGCGTGCCAGCCGGGGCTCCCCCCTCGGGGGCCGGTGCCCGGGCGGCCCTCCGGGTCCCGGGGTCCCCGGGGGGCGGCGTACCTCGGATGTAGGCGCACTTGCCCTCGTCCAGCTGGCTGGACGCCGCGGCGCCCATGGCTGCGGGGCGCGGGGCTGAGCTCCCCGGGCGGCGCGTTCGGCTCCCGACTCCGCTGGCGCCCGATGCTCGCTGCTGTCGGCGGTGCGACGGGCCGGCCAGGGGCTCGGCACCAGTTAAAGGGCCAACTTCCTCCGACAGGCGCCGCCTTCGGGGACGCCTCCTCCTCCTCTGGTCCGCGCCCTCCGGGAGCTGGGGCCCGGCCCGCCCTCCGCCGCCGCCGAGGCCCCGGGGGATGTCTGGTCTGGAAGGGCTTCCCCGGCCTTCCCCTCGGCTGACTTCTGCCTCTTGTTCTTAGCGGTTCGGGGCGGCCCGGGAACACCTTGGGGTGAGTGCACCGTTTCCCGGAAAACGCCTGTGAGCTGGAACCTGGCCACGCACTTCTCACCAGGCGGGGTTCTAGACTCATGGCTTTGCTCACCCTCTGATACCAGGAGCAAGCATCCCCGAAGAACTTGTGAGAGAGGCAAAAGTTGTGTTTTTCCCCTTTTTATTTTATTTTGTTGTTCAAAGTATTACAAATAGGAGTACATATATCTCCTTTTTTTTCCCTTCTCATTGTAGAAATGCAAAATTTCAACTCCCTCTCGGCCTCATACACACACACACACACACACACACACACACACACACACACGATTAGAAACTCTGGGAGTGGGGCCCAGCAATCTGTGTGTTTCAGGGCACTCCAGGTAATTCTGACACCTGCTGGGGTGTGAGAACCAAGTGTAACTTGCACCTTCCTGCAGGCAAGAAGCTGGGCCAAGGAGAGAGTGGGGAATGAAGAAAAAGAAGGGAAGGGAGAGAGGGAGGGAAGAAAGAAGGAAAATCTGAGGGCAACCCAGGGCTGGGTTCCACAATGTGCTCCCAGCCCTGAAACTCCTGAGGACTTGGTCAGTCTGTTCTTGCGCCTCTAGGTTCAGCTCCTCTCCTGGACCAACTGGAAGCAGTTCCTTAGGCAGAGCATCTGTGCTTTTCCCACAGCCACCATGTAGCTTGGCAGCCCCTTCCAAGGGCAAGCCAGCTTGGACCCAAGGTCTACCACTCATGTCTTAATGACTCCTGTTGACTTCACCTCCAAGGTCAAATGGTCTGTGTACCCAAGAGCCAGGCCTGAGGGAGACTTGGAAGGAAGTTAATCCTCTAGGATTTCAACACAAAAATTTCTCACTCTTCATACCCAGTATCTCACATCCAACATTCCAAACCGTCCAGATAGCCTCTCAATTCTACAGCTGACCCTTAAACAACATGAGTTTGAACCTTAAAAATCCATTTATATGTAGTTGTTTTTCAGTAAGTAGACAGTCAGACTTCGATATACCCCCCTTTCAGACTCCTCGGTTTTGGTATCCACGGGGATCCTGGAAACAATCCCCTGCGGATAGTGAGCATTCAGGGAATCAAAAGTCATCCATGAATTTTCTTTTGGGAGAGTTGATGCCCTAATCCCCTGGCTGTTCAAGGGTCATCTGTCCTTTTAAAATTCCTTCAATGTCCAACCATGCGTCATTCCCTCCACTGTTATCACCCCCATAATTTCTCACCTGGATAATTACAATAACCTCCTCACACTTCTCCTTTCTTCAGAGAAAAAACCACAAAGTCTATCACTGACAGCAGGCCCAAATTCTTCTCTCCCCTCACCCAGAACAGCTCTCCCCTCCCTCCCTCTGTTCCAGCCCCAGTGGCCCTTTTGCTCCGCTAAAACCACACCATGCTCTTCCCTTAGATGTTCACATGGTTCACTCTCTAAGTCTCACTTATTTTAAATCTCCACTAAAATGCTAACACCTCAGACAGGCTTTAGTTAAACACCAGCCCTCATTTCTCTGATCCTCACCCTTCACATTTCTATGTAGCACATGTAGCATCACCTGACATATATTTCTTTCTCTGTCTCTCCCTCCTGAGACAGAAACTCCATAAGGTCAGGGATTTTCTTTGTTGATGCTGTTTCTTTTGTTTGTTTTTCTTTATTCTTTTTTTTTTTTTCTTTTAGGGGCAAGGATTTTTATTCATTATGTCCTCTGGTTATCTCAAATGTCTAGAACAACTCCTGGCACATAATAGGTACTCAGGAAATAACCATTAAATAAGTGAATGAGGGAAACGTAAAATGTAAAACTCTGGACTCAATAAAAGCTGTGCTCTCAAATGACTAAAGAGCATTCCCAAATAGCTACATATGCAATGATTTCAACTATTCAGTGTTCAATTCTTTTCTCAATAATGGCTCTAAGAATTAAGCACATCTCCTCAGAGTAGTTTTTTTTAAATATATTTTATTGAATTTTTACAGAGAGGAAGGGAGAGGAATAGAGAGAGTTAGAAATATTGATGAGAGAGTCATCGATCAGCTGCCTCCTGCACACCCCCCACTGGGGATATGCCCGAAACCAAGGTATTAATACATGCCTTTGACCAGAATCAAACCAGGGACCTTTCAGTCCGCAGACCAACGCTCTACCACTGAGCCAAACTGGTTCCGGCTCCTCAGAGTAATTTTATTTTATTATGTAAATTGCTATAAGTGTACCTCAGAATACTGTTTTATTATGATTATTATTATTTGGGTCTTCTGCCCGAATATAGTTTTAGCTTGTCACCTTTTGATGGGAACTCTGGGAGTAGGCTGAGTATTCCGATTCATCATTCTTTGCTCATTTGCAGCATTCACAGATGGAACAGGGTGCAAGGAAGGATTTGTATGGTGTAGTATTAACAAGCTTTGTAACCCAACAGTTCCAGCTTCAAATCCTAACTTGATAACTTAATAGCCATTGGACCTGGTCAAGTTGCTCAACTTACCTCTCTAAGTCTCCTTATCTGTTAAATGGAGCTAATACCTCCTGAGCTGTTATCAAAATTAAATTTGATCAGGTCTATGAGGCACTCCTGGGGGCATTGTATTCTGTAATTGGAAGCTAGGGTTGTTATTATAAGAGCAAGAGTTGTCAAAGAGCCAAAACCAGTTTGGCTCAATGGATAGAGCGTTGGCTTGGGGACTGAAGGGTCCCGGGTTCGATTCAGGTCAGGGGCATGTACCTTGGTTGTGGGCACATCCTCAGTGGAGGTGTGCAAGAGGCATCTGATCGATGACTCTCTCTCATCGATGTTTCTAACTCTCTATCTCTCTCCCTCCCTCTCTGTACAAAATCAATAAAATATATTTAAAAAAAAAAAAAAGAGTGGTCAAAGAAGTAATTTTTTTAGAGAGAGTGGAATTTTGATTGGACCTTGAAAATCATTAAGAAAGAACATCTATTCCCCTTTTTTGCCCAAACAAATAAAGCAGTTTTCCCCAATCGCCTTACAGAAAAAAAATTAAGGAATTCATTATTTTAGTCATCGTATTTAACACTTGCAAATCCTATGTGGGCATCATTTTATTAATCACACACTAAAAATTAGTCTCCAAGCAATTCAATAACTTTATGAACCAGATTCAACTTTATATGACTCAAATCAGCTAGTTTAGAAAATTTTCTATGCAATTTTAGGAATATTTCCTAAAATATTCTTAAGATCATTTCTTTCAGGTAAATAACACATCTACACTAATAAAAGAGAAAAATGCAAATTGACCATACTTTTGCGACGACCACCAGCCAATCAGGAGAGAGTGTGCAAATTAACCCAACAAAGATGGTGGGTTAATTTGCATATGCAGGTGAGGAGCAGCTAAGGTCAGAAAGGCAACTCTGGGCCAGAGTGAAGGCAGTGCCAGCAGCTACAGGAAGAAAGGCCCATTCTTGCACAAATCTTTGTGCATCGGGCCTCTAGTACTAAAATAATTACCTTTTTAACATCTTAATTGAGATATATTCATATAGCATGAAACTCATCCATTTAGGTTACCTTTTTTAAAGGAAACAAATGAGTTAAATAGCCATCTAGTACCTTTAAAATTTGTATTTTGGGATTCCTTTGCATGACATGGAACCATGAATCCTTGTTCTCATTGGAGTCAGTGACATCTGTCTATTTAGGCAGTTAGTGACCTTGTCTATTTAACTGCCCACAAAAGAGGTACAATCTCAAACTTTTTTAAACTTCCCCAAGTACCTTGCACTGCCCCATAATATAGTAGTAGGAACTTTGTAATTACATGATTAGTTGATAAGTCACATAGTTATCTAATTTAATCTGCCCAGAAACCCACTAAGGTAGGCACTACCATCATCATCATTTTACAGATGAGGAAACCAAGGTTAAGAAGTTTAAAGGATTTATAGCAGGGACCAGTTTGGCTTAGTGGATAGAGCGTTGGCCTGCAGACTGAAAGGTCCCGGGTTCGATTCCGGGCAAGAGCATGTACCTTGGCTGCGGGCACATCCCCGGTGCGGGGTGTGCAAGAGGCAGCTGATCGATGATTCTCTCTCATCGATGTTTCTGACTCTCTATCCCTCTCTCTTCCTCTCTGTGAAAAATCAATAAAATATATTTTAAAAAAAAAGACGTTTAAAGGATTTATCAAAGTCACCTATAACTGGATTTATCTGACTCCAGAGCTCATCTTCTTAAGCACCATACTACTTCTTTTATAAATCTTGCTTTTGTTTATTTGCATAAGTAATCTAGGTTTTACTATAAAGAATTAGAAACTATTGATAAACAAAAAGAAAAAATGGGGAAAATCACCCAAATCTCAATATCAATACAGTATCTTTAGATAATTCCCAAGTTTGTTTAGATTCCTGGAGATTTACATATATGCAATTATAATTTATAATTATATATAAACTTATTTACAATTATTTTCAAAAACTCATACTATATATATTCTGTAATTTGTGTGATTGTTTCATTTTGTATATTTCCATTTAAATAAATATCTAGATTCAAGTCTATGAGAGTATAAATGTAACTTAATTCACTTATCTACCAGTAATGTATACATGCCTTTTCCCATTCCTCAATCACATTGGACATTTTCATATCTTTTATTATTTTCTTATCATTATTTTCATTCCTTTTAATATTTGACAATTTGGGAG